TCCTTTCCCCTCAAGAAGTTAGTAAGGACCAAAATGCAAAAAAAAAAAAAATAGGGAAAAAAAAGAGAAGGGGTCAACCTCCAAGGCAAAGGGTATCATGATCTCCCACAAGGAGATTAAGAAGGTACTTTTAGCTCATAAACCTCTACTATTAGCATATCCTCCTCTAGGTTCTTCCCTTACATTTCATGAACAAATCTCCAAGTTTGTCCAAGAGTGTAGAGTTAGTATTGGATGAATTGCAGGATGTTTTTCAAGAACCTCCTGAGGGGCTTTCACCTCTAAAGGAGATCGAACATCAAATAGACTTCCTACCTAGTTCATCCATTCCAAACTGACCGACTTATAGGAAAAACCTAGAAGAGTCTAGAGAGATCCAAGGCAAGTCGAGAAATTAAAAGATAAGAGCTGAGTTCAAGATAGCACAAGTCCCTGTAATGTTGGTAATTCTCGTCCTAAAAAAGAATGGAGTTGGCGGATGTGCACAGACTGTAGGGTAATCAATAATATAAGTATAGGCACCCTCTCCCGAGGCTAGATGACTTACTAGATGAGTTACATGGAGCTTTAAGTTTTCCAAAATTGATCTGAAGAGCGAATATAATCAAATCAGAATCAAAGAATGGAATGAATGGAAAACAACAAAAAAGTGCATAAAAAAGAGAAGAAAAAAAAGAAAGATAAGAGGAATAAAAAAGTTTTGAAAATTTGTGGACGAATTCTCTCCAAGACGGGAAAGATGATGAGTTCCTAGTTGCCCCGAAAACCGAAGAGGTCATTCATAGAAGGATCATTAGGAACATAACTAAAAGGGAGACTTCTTCCTCACCCTCCACTTTAATTTTCTTAGCATTTTTTTCTTAAATTTTAGATACTCATTTTCGCATTTATTTTGTAGGACCACTCTATGCACCTCCTTTTTTAAGACCACCTCCTCTTTTTGGTAGAAAAGAAGACTTGAACATATAGGATGGTTTATGGGCTACCCAAAGGTATATGATACTCTTTTTTCATGTCCTACACCCCTTTTTGGAGAGGAAGAAGCTTGGGATGTGAGATTGGTAGACTTAGGACAACCTAAAAGGAAACACACCTCTTTTTTATGTTCTCCACACCCTTAGAGGTATTTTTGATGGGTTAGGACGAATTTAACATATTTGGACCGTGGAAACTCTAGAATTTAGGTTTAGGTTAAGTTTATGTCTCCTGTAATTCCATCTAGGTCCCTCTTCCAAAAGCCTATAAATAGAAGACTTCCCGTCATGTAATTAGGTTGAACATTTATGACAAATTTGTGAGGTTTCTTAGAGTGTTTCATCTCTTTGAGTGTCTTATCTTGAACCTTGGTTCAAGTGGTGGCAACCACCACTTATTTAGGGTGACTCATCCCTTAGTAGCGTGTCAACACTCCACTACCACCATATTTCTCTTCTCTTCATCTTTTCTTCTTTATTTCTTCACTCCATTTATTTATCCAAGGGATTGATCCATTTTTCCAGACATTGTCTTTATTCTTTTCTAGTTTCATTCCATCTCTTCTTCCTTCCACAATCCTTAGAAATGAACTTTCACATCTAGATAGGCAACTGTCTTAATGTCTAGTGAAAATTTTTCTTGGGTTTGTTTACTTTATTGCTTAAAATTTTGCACCTTATCTTCTTAAAATTCTGCTTTTTACTTTATTTTACATCACATTGGGTCATGGTCGTGCATGAGCCGTTCAATAAGAAGGATGTCTAGAAGCTTATGGAGCTAACCTAAGATAAGCATGTTTTAGATGTCATGTGGGTATGCAAGACAAAATTAATGGCAAAAGGATACGCAATAAGAAGAAGGTATATATTACACAAAAATCCATGCACCAATCACAAGATTTGAGGCTATACACATTTTATATTCACTTTGTCTTTAATAAAATGAAGTTGTATCCAATGAATGTAAAAATTGTATTCCTTAATTATGACATAAAGGAAGAACTCTATATAAAATAACTATTTGTGTTTGAGAGTGATTTTTTTTTTTTTGCAATATGTCTTTAAATTTAACAAAGTTCTTTACCGGTTAAAGTAAACTCCAAAACTAGGTACAACAAACTTAGTTTATTTTTTACTAAACAAGGTGTTTAAATAAGAAAAGTAGACACTACCCTCTTTTGCAAAGACTATAAGCATAAATTCCTTATATTTATGTAGATGATATTATATTTTGGTGTTACTAACGAAGTTCTCTGTGAAGAATTCTCTAAACTTATACAAAATGTATTTGAGATGAGCATGATGAGTGAGTTGAAGTTCTTTTTGGAAATTCAAATCAAGAGGTTTGTAAATGACATATACACATACCAAACGATGTATGTGAACAAAATTCTATGAAGTTCAAGTTAAATGAGGTTAAAGAAATGAAGTATCCATGAATGTAACCATGTCTCTGTAATCATATGAGACTTCAAAAAATGTGGGCAATAGTGTCTTTAAATAGTTGATAGGATCATTTCTATACCCATGTCTAACAAAAATATTATGTTTTATATTTGTCTATGTGCTCGATTTTAATCTCATAGTAAAGAATTTCATTTAACTATTATTAAAAAAATCTTTCATTCATCTCACTAGAACCACTAATCCTAGATTTTGCTTTAAGACATGAGAAACTTTCAAATTAGTAGAATACTAGAAAGACTACCTTGGACACAATGTTATTAGAAAGGGTAAAAGTGGAGGATGTCACTTCGTTAGAGACAATTTCATTTTATAGACAAACAAAAAATAGATGACCATATCATTATCAACAATAGAAACTGATACATATTAGTTGTTAGTTACATCTCTTAGCTACTATGAATAAAAAATAAATTAAAGGATACAATATATATAAGACTAAAACTAACAAGAAGATGATATTCTTAAGAATTGATACAAATATGATATTTGAAAAAGGTCTAAAATAACTTACGTAATCTTAAATATTAAACGAACAAAATAATCCTTAAAATGTATTTACATATACTAATATTATAATACAGTCTCTATCAAATGATATATTATAAATATATAAAATACTTATACCGTATATTCTTAATATTTCTTAAAATATATTTACATTAAACTTATAAACACATGTTATTATTTTCAAAATATTGAGTATAATATTATTATATGATATATATTATTTTCGTATAATTATAAATATACAACTATATTTATAATATATATATATTAATTTTTTTTAGTTTGTAAAAATACAAAAGAAATAAAATATTAAATTCAGAATTCTGACTTGTAAATAAAACAGGGGTTTGGTAATTAAGTATTATTTCCAAAATATTTCTGACTTGTAAACAAAACAGGTTTGGGTTTAGTAATTAAGTATTTGTCTTTTCGGAATTTTGTCCAGAGAGTTTAACATTGAAAAAATGATCTGTGAAATCCAACTGTTATATTTTTAGAGAATTTTTAAAAAAATTTACAATCGTCAAATTTGGCAAATATATTTGTCATAATAATCTTATCATGAGCAATGTTAAAATGTAATTCCTTATTTCTCTCCTTTTCATTTTCCATTAACCAATAGAAGATTTTTTTTTTTTCATTTAAATTCTTCTTTTGAGATTTTATCTTATTTTTTTATATTAAACAAAAGTTAAGATATCTCTCTTAAATTAATCATTCTTTATATTTTGAATACCAATTTGACCAGCTTAATGACAAATTATCACAAGAAGAAAGTTAACATATATATTTTTAATTTTGAAAAACCTAATAATAATAATAATAAATAATAAAAATAAAAATAAAAGGAGAATTTTAGTGCCTACAACTTTTTTCTAATATTATTTTTTTACTACACAAGTTGTAATTGCATGTCGATGGCAAAACCAACTCTACTTTTCTATTATTCAATTTTTATACGTTTCTAAAGCAGCCGCCACTACTTTTTCTAATACAAATGTTAATTAAATTCTTAAAAATATTATTCAATTTTGATGTGTTTCTAGAGTCGCAACTACTTTTCCTTATACTTAAAAAAAGTTTAATTTAACGTTTTCAAAGTATATTATTTTTAAAAAGTCAATTAATATAATTTATTTTTATTAATTTTTATTTAAAGTAATTTTTTTATTTTAGAATGAATAGCGTTAGGTTTGATATTTTTAGGCAAAGTGTAGAATGAAAAATGATATATACAAGAAAATCAATATAAAATAATAATTTTTTGTTTAATAATAAAAAATAAAGAAAAAAATATTATTTTTCTGTAATAAATATATTTATTTTTTCGTTACATGTAAAGAAAAAAGAGTAGAAAATAAAAGAAAAATGTAATTTTATAAAATTATCTTCATTGTTTACAATTTTAATCTATATATATAATATCATTTTAATAAAATATTAAACAAACAATTTAATATGTTTTTTTAATTATATGTAATATGATATTATTTTATTAATTTAATTTTAAATATTTGTAGAAAAAAGTTTATAATATAAAATATTTTATAATTATATATTAAATATATTATTAAAAAATAGATATATGTTTAAAATTATTATGTTATTAATAAAAAATATTTAATAATTATATAATATTAATTTTATAATTGAACAAATATTTAATTTCAATTTAATTATTTATTACTTTTAAAATAAACATTTTTTTATTTTTCAAATCACTGTTTTTTTTTTTTTGAAGAAATAATAATATTTTCTATTTTTTTTTACTGACATCAATTAACTTTTATATTTTTTATTTTATTTGTTTCAAAGTTTAGTGGAAGGAGTGGGCCATGGTCAACAATATGATAGCTCACATCTCCATGAAACATATTTGTCTCGTTGCTCACTTATCACGAAAACAGATTCTCAAGTGCTTGTGATATTCATTTGATATAATTGTTGTAACGACGATACTGATAGTGTACTGGTGATTTTGTCACCTTTCAATTTCTTAATTATATTTCTTCTTTTTATTTCTTTGCCTTTGTCATATCACGTGACTCTGTTATGTTTCACGTCACTTTTTCCTGGTTCCTTTCTAGGTTCATCGTATTCTTCACCGAGTCACCCCAAGCCAAAGGTTCTCCCTACCAACTTCGTACCTCGTTCTAATTCCATGTTGTTTGCGTTTGTGTGTAAAATATTTTTTCGTTATTCTAATTCATTATGAACATGGTTTTACTTTGTTTTGCAGTCTTAATTTACAGTTCCTTTCATTTTTGTGCTATTGATTTTGGGTACTGTTTGAGTTTTAGACAGTTTGAAAGTTTTGATTTTAATTTAATGGGTTTTTCTTTTTGTCATGGGTTTCTTATGAATCTGTTTCTGGCTCATCAGAGGGTAAACTGAAGTTAGCCTGTTAGTTGAATTGCTCATCAATATCAAAGACAGTAAAATGACTCCCATAATTTGAAATCTGTTTCCTCTGAAGTAAACACTTGCTTCATAGATAAAATAAGTAATAAAAAAGTATCGGGATGATATTATCCGTACACACATAACAAATCATGAAACTTGAGTTTTGATGTGAAAATTTCAGAAGATCCTGCTTTCATGTGTAGACTAATAATGAATCTTTCATTTGACATAGAGCGATAACTCTTCATAATAGACTACACTTCGAGGTGATTAATTGAAATATCATTGAGGGACACCAAAAGGCTATGTTTTTCTGCTTTTATATCATTTGAAATTTATACATTTCATCATTGCATAGCATGTTTTGTTGAAATGCATTTGGTATCATTTAATGTTATTAAATCACTATTCTTCAAACTCACTTTCAGCATATTTTGCGGACATCGTAAGTAAATCTTGTGAACTTGTGAAGATGGACATGATCACTAATGTGACCGAGTATGAAGCAATTGCAAAGGAAAAATTGCCAAAGATGGTTTATGACTACTATGCATCAGGGGCAGAGGATCAGTGGACTTTGAAAGAGAATCGAAATGCATTCGCAAGGATTCTGTAATATACTTATATCAGGAATCAGGACCTCTATTTTATCTGTTCTGCCCCCATGGAAACTTACTTTTAATCAAAATCTAAGTTCAACTTTCTTTTGATTACTAAGGATACTCATTAAGATTTCGCTTTGTGAGATTGCAACTTATGCTTCCTTTTAATAATTTTCACCTTTTTGTTTTTTTCTTTCTGAAGCTCTGGTCTCTTTGGTTTACTTCAAACAGGTTCCGGCCACGTATCCTTGTTGATGTGAGCAGGATAGACTTGACGACAACTATTTTGGGCTTTAAAATATCAATGCCTATCATGATTGCTCCGACAGCCATGCAGAAGATGGCACACCCCGAAGGTATTTGATCGACTCAGTGGTCTGCGTTACATTAAGATATTGCCATTCGTTGTATATTTGGGTGACAGTCTGAATGAACTTCATTTTACAAATTGAGTATGCAAAAGCAACTCTTCCTTCTTTTTGGGTGAGGAACCAGGAATTGAAAGAGAAAGAAAAGAAAAAATGTTATTTAATAGAATGAAAAGAACCAGAAATAGGAGAACACTTCCCCCCGAGAGTTTCACTTTCACAAAAGATTTCTCCTTGCTAATGCTCAATCTACAAAATGAACAACCCCTCTCCTATCCTTCTTCCCCTATTTATATCTAACTAACACCTTAAATAACTAATTAACTCATTCATATTCTAACCATCCTAACTAACTTCTCCTTATCCTTATACCCTAACAGTACACCCTTTTAAAATCAACCTTGTCCTCAAGGTTTAACTAACTTTTCCTTCTTATGTCCAAAGAAGAATTATGTATGCCTTTAGCATGAGGTGGTATGATTATAGGATGAGGTATAGAATGCCTTCATATGTATACTTTTGGGAGGTATAGAATTTCAAATAGGTTTTGTTTAATTAAAAAGACAACATAACATCCCTTCTTAACAAAAACTGGTTTTATCCTTTCTTAAATAAAATTACAATCCGTATGAAGAAAATGAGTTTATCTTAACAATATCAGTCAATTTCATATAACCATGTTGGGGAGAAAATTCCAGTAAATTTGTCTTGCTAATTGTATTCTGAAATGTTTTCAATGAATTGAAAACGATCTCAATAAAACTAGTATTTCAAATGGAACAGAAAACGGGTTGGAGTTTCTGGAAATTTTTTATTTTTATAAGTTTTTTAAAGTGAAGAATATTATTGCAGAATGCGCCAATCTTGATTATTATGGTAGTTGTTATTTCTAGTATATACTACGAATTGTAAAATTATCAGAATTAAACATTAACCATTTAAGTTTATACTAGGATTTTGTTAATGCTCAAGTCCCTGATTCTTAATATATTTTTAACCGATGTTTATTTCTTACTACAACAATTCAGAAAAGCTTCTGAATTATAACAAATTATGCAACTTTTGTGCAGGAGAATTCGCAACTGCAAGAGCTGCATCGGCAGCTGGCACAATCATGGTTTGGCTTTCACCATATTTGTCTTGCACTTTGGTTTTGTTTCCAGACAAAACCTATATTTGTTTCCTTGTAGTTTTATTATTTATTTGATTATAATATGAAATTGTATAGGTGTACTGACTTGCATGTATTTGTTGTACTTACTTTCCAACTAATTAATTTTATAATTTTTTTTTGTCACAGACACTATCATCTTGGGCCACTTCCAGTGTTGAGGAGGTTGCGTCAACAGGTCCCGGCATTCGGTTTTTTCAACTTTATGTGGGAACTTTTCCTCATTTCTTCCTTCTAAAGTTCTCTTTTCTGTGCTGTGTGTTATAAGTTTCCCCTTGAATCAAAGGACATTTTCTTGACAATTAAACCTTTCCAAGAAACTCAGTATTAAACACTAAATTACTTTTATAGATTTTTTCAGTTGCACTTTTTATAAATGCTTTAATGAGTCTGGCAAACTAAGGCTTGATTTCTGCATACTGCCTCAGGGCAATTTGCGTGCATTTTGTTTCCAGTGATTTTTGCCAAAATGATCTTCAAAATTTTGACAAATAATTTATTTTCCTTCCTATATAATTTCCTCCACACAACAAAATATTATCTGCTCTTATTTAAAATTCTAAAAAATCTTTTGTGAACATCTAATATGCTGCTGTTCTCTTCTTCTCTTAGGTGTTTAAAGACAGAAATGTAGTTGCTCAGCTTGTGAGAAGAGCTGAAAGAGCTGGTTTCAAGGCAATTGCCCTTACTGTGGACACTCCAATTCTTGGTCGTAGGGAGGCAGACATCAAAAACAGGTTGGCAACCGCTGGAAATTTCAATGAGAACATACTCTCCACAAAAGATTACATGGTTCATTATGGTTGGATTGATATATTTCCTACTTTAAGATAAATAGCATTGGCTTGTTTGATGGGGTATTTTGCAGATTTACATTGCCATCACACCTGATATTGAAGAATTTTGAAGGGTTGGATCTTGGAAAGCTGGACAAGGTGTGTGATTACTTTGCTATTTTCCATTATTCGAGAGAAATTTTGAATCAGATGGGATTTTTCGCTATTGGTCATTTTATTATAGTTACTGTTGCTATTTTCTCTCTGGGATTACATTGCAGACTAGTGACTCTGGTCTTGCCTCTTACGTTGCTGGACAAATTGACCGGTCACTCAATTGGAAGGTGATATAGATCATTCACACATACGATTTCCTAATCTTTGACATTGGAGTAATTCTATGGTAAATCTTGTTTCAGGATATCAAATGGCTTCAAACAATCACTTCATTGCCAATTTTAGTCAAGGGTGTACTTACTGCCGAAGACAGTAAGCCTACCCAGAGATACTTTGTTGCTTCACTTCACTGTTCATTTTATCTTGTTAGGATTGCTTTCTCAATATCCAATCTAATTCAATATCCTATGCTAATAATGTAGCAAGGATAGCCTTAAAAGCTGGAGCTTCTGGAATCGTTGTTTCCAATCACGGAGCTCGCCAACTTGACTATGTCCCAGCAACTATTACAGCTTTGGAAGAGGTACTGCGTTCTAATCATTTCTAGATTTTTTTTTTCTTTATTAACTGATTTAGAAATGTACCACATCTTGTGCTATCATTGTCAGTACTGTAACTAAAAGTCTTGCTCATTCTTTGTTTGATTTTAGTTAATCATGCATTAAGCATTAAAACTTCAAAACTGCTATATTTGAGTCATTGAAAAACTCCTTTTCATCGCCTGCTTATTTGCTAATCATAATTGCATTTTCATTTTTCCTTTTAATTCGTTGGTCTTGTTGACTAATGCCCTCTTTCACTTTAACATATTGGAATTATTGGTTGCTTGACTTGTATAGGTAGTTAAAGCTGCAGAAGGAAGAATTCCAGTTTTTCTGGATGGTGGAGTTCGCCGAGGAACAGACGTTTTTAAAGCACTAGCTCTTGGAGCAGCTGGTGTATTCGTAAGTACACAAAAGTTTGATCACCATCGTAGCAAATTAAACTGTTGAATTCTTAACTACAGTCTATTACTCAAGCATATACGCACCATAGTAGTGTAGTTCCTATGTTCCACAAAGAAGCACATGAACCTGACTTAGAAATTTCCACCGAATATGGATTTTCCATAAATGCCAAAAAAACTTGTGGAATATGCTTTTCTATTTCATTGGTTTACTAGTGTTTCAGTAGAGGCAGATGATCTAAAATAGTGTAGCTAACCCCACATTCATTCCTGCTATATAAATCTTTGTCTTTCATCTCAAATTTCAGATTGGTAGACCTGTGTTGTTTTCATTGGCTGCTGATGGTGAGGCTGGTGTGAGAAAAGTACTTCAAATGCTTCGTGATGAGTTTGAACTAACTATGGCACTAAGTGGTTGCCGTTCACTCAAGGAGATAACTCGTGACCATGTTGTCACAGAGTGGGATCGCCCAAGAATTGCTCCAAAGTTATGAGGTGGCAAGACTCCACCTTGGTCTTCAATGTTAAATAGTAATTGTAGAATATCCTTTTATCCCATTTCATGCTTCAATGGAAAACTTTGTTGCTGCAACGAGCCATGCATTTTCATCCATTAGTAATGGCTACCCTTTTCACTGTGCAGAATAAGTTTCTACCTGGACTTATTTCATTGCAGTTGATATCATGATATCATGTGTCTCCCATTTATATGGGACAACTCTGATCTGATAGCTGCTTGATTGATGTCTTTAGATAAAAAATGCGCTTCACAAAAAGATATGATGGTTATCATGGAATGGCGCGTATAACTCGTACAGGGCTTCTTTTTCCCACTTTGTATATTTGAAAATTTTAATTTACCTTTATCTTATTTGAACATATCTAGAACCGAGAAATTATCATTTTGAATTACACATTCTAAGATTTTTTTTTTTCAAAAAGGTTTAAACAACTTTTTATTATTAATAAATTTTCAATTTTTAAGTTTGATCCTTATAATTTTTTTTCCTATCGAAATGGACCCTCACAAATTTGCTTTTTCATTTGGTCAATTTCGTTATGTTCTATTTTGTGAGTGATGATGTAACAGTTAATTATTCAACCTCCCAATAGTAAAGCAGGTGCTATTTATGGTTACAAATAAAAAGTTGTGGCAAAATCAAAATTTCCTAATAACAGAAATGACGTCATTTAGTTATGTTTAAGGTTTACCTCTTCCTATTTGCCTTTTTCATTCGCATTCAATGATGACGCGATTGATAATAATTTCAGAGGAGTTGAAATAATATATAATATGCAAATAATTGAAAAATATATGAAAAATGAAAAAAAAAAACACTGAAAGAGTATAAAATCTTTTCTGAATTTCAATATTTAATATATTTTATTATTAAAAATAAAAAAATTAAGTCAACTTACAATTTATATATATATATATATAATATAATATAATATGTATTGTTTTAATTAATAAAAATTTAAATATCTAAATAAATTTGGAGAAATTAAAATTATAAATATATAAATGATTTAAAAAAATTGAGAGAGAGGGTCTTTCTCTAAAGCCCTAAGAAGATTATTTTTTATGGAAGTAGATGTCAATTTATGTTTTCCTTTAACACATTGTTATGATAATATAGTAAGCTTTGAAATTATAATATGATATTTTTTCTAATCAACGATTAAGATATTAAACTGAAATTTTGTTTTTGGGTTTATACTAGATGTCAATATTCCAACTTATAATATATAATATCATTAAGGTTAATCACCACATTCAAGTTGTTATTTGTTTTGGAGTTCTAATTTGTCACAATTTTATTTTTAAAAGATACTTTTACGGGTCAAGAAAAGAATATCTATATAAGTTATCTTTGATATTGACTTTTAAGCGATGTAAGACTTATAAGTGTACAAAAACATTAATTCCTTAATAAAAGACTAAGGGGTAGAAGGGGACAAAACTCTATTTTTGATCCCACATTAAGTTTTAATGGTTCATATGTACACAATTGTCTATTAAACAAGGCTTAACAATAACAAACTCAATATTTACGTCAACACAAAATGTCTAACAAACATCTTTGAAAAAGGAAACCAAGATGAGATGATAAGAATAATGACCATTGAGTATCCAATTGTACTTGAGGTCCAAGATCAAAGGGCACTTACCCTTTTGGTTTCACCCTAGTGGTGCTCATACCAGCTCCAGTTTCACCTTTAGGGTCTTGGACTTCCTCCAAATAGGAAAAAAGGCTTATGATGGGTGAAATCCTCTTGCTAACAAATTTTTCTAAGAAAGCAAAAACAATCTCCATATAAGAAAGGTTAACATAAGTGGTGTTAGCCACGTCTCCAAGAGGAAATACTATAGATGAATCAGTAATACCCGTCTTCTTTAGTAGACTTGTGACTTATAAGTTGAACTTCATACTAAATCATAAGCAATTTAGTAAAACCTAAATCACTAAAATTATCAGAGGAACTAGAAGCACAAACAAAAAACAATAAAAAATAAGAAACAAAATGAATAGAATAAACAAAGCAATGAACATACTTAAAGCAAAAACACTAGAGAATATGACAGAAAGAGGGTGCAAAGGTACCTCAGGTGACAAAATGAGAAAATGAATGACTCAATTCTCTTTTAAATATATTTTCATACTTTTGACTATTAATGTTTTATATTAAACATCAAAGAAAATCTTAGCAAGTTTGAAAGCAAAAGTGATGAAGAAATCCTAATTGGATACTCAAAGACATCAAATGCCTATAAAATTCATAACTCTTGAACATAAAAAGATCATTCATATGTGAGATTCAATGACTATAAGTTTGATGAGGAATTATAGACCTAGATCAAGCTCTTGCAAAATTATAGATCAATCAGAAGAACGATTCATCAATTAGTATGCAATACGTTTAAAGGTCCATTAAACGAGAAAAGAGAACTCATCTATAAGAATCATCAATTGATGAAAGATCATTTAGTCGATGTCATCCTAGGAAATCCTATTGAAAAAGTAAGGATAAGGTCCTAAATCCTACACAAATATTAAGCTTTTACCTTAAGCATATAGCCCATGGCAAGCAATGAAGTATTGAATGGTGTGTATTGAATCGAGGCTATGCAAGAAAAGTTAGACAAATTTTAAAAGAATGATATCTAGATGCACAATATTAGAACTAAATGAGTATAAAAAAACAATTAGGATGATACTTGTTAGAGAATAACTTAACAATTTTCATATTCTATTGTTGATCAAATCTATTGAATTGTTTAGAAGTAATGCATTTTATGTTGAAGGTTGTGGTTATACTTATGACAATTGTCTAACCATGGTAGCTAAGTTGTCAATTATGTTTTCTATTTTTTTATGCTCAAAAGAATATTCAACTTGCACTTCAAAGATGCTCTTAACAATTGTATACCCTTTCGTGGAGAATTGTTGTGAGTTGATGGTCATGATTTCAATCAAGTTTATTACCATTACAAGAGCTCCACAACTTGTTTTATTAGTCATACTCATGTCCATAGTTGTGAGTCCGTTATAAAAATATTAGATGAGGAGTTATTCACTAAGTTTAGGTTGAAGGCAACTTTCACATAACCTTTTGAATCTTTTCCTATAATCATACAAACTTTTTTTATCAAGTTGCATAATGTCATTCATTTTCTTTCTTATGGAAGTAGCCATAAAGGTAAGAAAAAATTATCTAAGAATAACCTCTTCAAACTTCCCAATTTGTGCTAGTTTCAGGTGATATTTTTTGCACCTTCATGCAAGGCAAATGAAAATTATTTAAGCTTTATGTGATTCTCAGGAACACCTTAAGGTTTCATTATTGAACAAAAAAATGTAGAACTCCTTAAGGTGCTTGTGAGGATCTTTTCCTGCAAGGCTACAAAATCTAAGCAATATTCAAACCAATTTTAAAAACAAATGGCACATCATCACATTAGATTCACAAACTATGATATGTTCTTTTCAAGAGGTTTTTCACCTCATAATTTTGTTTTTAAATGTTAACGCAAGGTTGAATCAATAGAATCTAATTTTCAAATTTTTCTTTTTCAATTAATGAAAGTTATTTTCAATATTTAAATCAAATTCTAATGATTTATCAATATTAATATATCATCAAACAATATAGGCAAAATTCATACAATAAATATCTCATTGAATTAGGTTTCGGGTAACATAGTTTTTCTTGGCCATAACAAATATTAGATCCAAATTTCATCAATTAAGAAAACATATTCAAATAAATTATAATCTAACCTCAAATTGAGTGTGGATTGTTACAAAGAATTAATACTTATACCTTCAAGCTTGCATAGTACATTTCATGAATTGTAACCATGTGAACAATGATGACGTGAACAATGTGAAAGCAATAGAAAAGTAGAAAACTTAAAACAACAACTCTTTATTAAAAATAAGAGAGTATTTTTGCAAATACAAATATTTATTCAAATAATGAAATTGATTCCTAATCAAAATTTCATTAATCAATTTAAAATCTATATTTATAGTAAAAATAAAAGTCTTAGTTATGGATAAAGTTATGATTATAACAAATTTGATTAATTATAAATGTCTAACTCCAGAATGAAAAAATATAACATATTAAACTTAAAAAAAAATATATGAAACTTCAAATATAGTAAATAATATATTTATTTGAAAGATTAAAAAGTCAAGAATCCAACATTAAAAAAAAAAAACCAAAAATAATATTTTGAGCAAAAGTCATAGACAATAAAATAGAAAAATGTTAAATTAACTAAAAAACATATTTATGCAAAATAAACTCGTTTTATTAAAAAAGTAATCATGGACAACATAAAACATTAAAAATATTTTTAAGATACAATAAAAGTATAGATTTTAATATAAAATATATATGTTAATACCTTATTTTTTTCTCATACAAAAATTAATTAATTAAATTATTCATAAAAGTCTAAAATGCCTTAATATAAAAAATAATTTTAAAGAAAAAAAAAGAAGAAGGAAAATGCACCTCTTCATATTTCTACCACAAAAACCCTAGACCCAATTTTAGGTCATCATCTTTGGTCGCTCTATCCCTGTTAACAACCTACAAGTCTTTGCTACAATTAAACCAGTCGTCAATACTCGTTATGATTTCTTGTTATATAATGGACTTAAAACAACATTCATGAACCAAGTATAAGGTTAAATAGAAAGAGTTTCCTTTTGAAAGGACGGAAGGAGGAGAAAATTACCAATAGAAATAAAGGCACACACTAAAGTAGATAACAACCAGAAAAAGGTGAATGAGCAAAGAACAGTAACAAAAAGTTAGAGCAAATTTAAAATATTCAAAGAGAGATTAAAATTTGATAAGAATGATTTAATCAACTTTGATCCTTATTATGTTTTACTTCATCTATAATAACAATGTTTTGTCCAAGTAATATCATCATCTTTTAAGATGAAATTTAAAAATAAGAAAAAATAGGATA